GATGTAAAGGTTTAAGACGCCTAAATCCTCGTAAAAAAGGAATCCTCACATATATCGATTTTGTCATCGTATTAATCTCTTTTGAGGTTGGATCTTCTTCAATCTACACGCCTTTTACTACATGATTTTTTTTAAATAAGTACTTTTTTGCTTTGTCCAATTGCATTTTGTTACACTTAGACTTCAAATCGCTGTGCTATTGTAAGAATATCATTCCATGTCTTACGAGTCCTTATTTGTTGAGAGATCTTCCGTCTAGTCGAGGAATCAAACGCGCTGTTCAATGAATTTTCTCCTTTTTTTAATACGATTAAATTATAATGTTTAGCATGTTCTATGAAAGTAGCAACAAATACTTTAATTGCTTGTGTTTTTTTTGGCGGGTCATTTTGAGTGTGCTTTTCTTGAGAAATTTCTTTATGGCACTAAAGAAAAGTTAAACCTGTGCGTGTGTAAGGCCAGTAACGGCTTTGTAGACATACATACATATAATCTAATTTGCAGTTGCTGTCTGGGCTTGAGTGTATAATAAGCAGATCGCTACGTTGCTCTGCAGTGTATTATTGTAAATAAAAAAATTGAATCAACGCTCTATCTGTTGCAGATACTCCGTGCCTTTGTATCTTTACCAAGTATTGCGTAAACAGCTTTCGGTTGTGCTAGTTCAATCATTGTACTGTAGATTAATCTTTCGAATTTCATGTCCGAGGAATAATTGTATTATACAGTAGTCGTCTCCTCTCAGCTTCTCCTCAACCTTCGCAGCCGTTTGAAGATCATCTCTATGATGGTTATCTCATTCAGCCTAAAGCAAGTTTAAAATGGGATATTTATTTCTATACGTCATTAAGGTATTATAAATAAACTTTCTAATCGGCAGACCCAAAGTAAATTAGGTTCTTTGATATACTGAAGGCAAGTATGACTCAGAGTCTTTTTGATAATTATGGAAGCTCCTAACAGTAAATTACTTTTTTTTATGAGAAAACTGCAGAACTCAGCTTTGAAGCTGTATTAAAATCAGTAAATGCGGGTATAGCTGTTAAAAGCCAGTACTGAACTAGTGCTGCTTATTTATTCGAAACAAGTATTCAGGGTTGCTGGAGACCAGTTGCTGACCAAAAGAAGCCCCAATAGATTGTATAAGTATAAAGTGGAATGATGGATAATAGAGTTTGTGGAACTAGAATGTAACATAGCACACACAGATAAGCAAGTATTATTGCGACGGCTAGGGCTATCAAGTGAAACTGATTAGCTTGCTATTCGAGAAATCAAAAAGAAAGTTAATTTAAAAATTAAGTAGCGCACGTCATGAATATCATCCAGAGTACTATTATGATATTTACTGGATCAGACTCGACTGCCACATTTGCACTTAAGGGATTGATCGTCGTGGCAAACTATTTGTAATTCGCAATTTCTTTTATCCTAGAAAATGTACAAAGTATTTCAAAATATTTGTTTGGATTAAAAAAAAGCAGATTAAGTTGGTTTCGTTTTTAGGCAGAGTTTAGCTGATGTTTGGAACACAATTTTGATTGAATGCTGGTTGCTAGGTGTCTTTTGTAAACCTTACAACTGTCTTCAAATTAGAAGATTACGTACGAGCACAAAGGTTTTTAGTATGTTCTGAGAAATGTCTACCCAAAGAAAGACACCAAACCATGGAACGCATTTATAAGTCTCTATTTGCTTCTTTGTTGTTACAGATATTATACAAAAAAGACGGTATTTTTTGCCGTTTTCCTAGACAACACTTCAATACTTTTTGGGCAAAGGCCCGTCACGAATATTGGCTTACTAATCGCTGAGGTTCCATAAAGCAAGAATGACACCATTAGATATAAGAGAAATCGCGGGGATTATTAATTGCAAACAGTTTTCGGAGAGAGACGTTTTTAAAGCGGTTTATGTCCTGTGCTCTACCGCATGACAGATTCGCTTGCAGTTATCTACAGCTTTTAGGCGCAGTATCCTCTGCCCCTACAGATCATGTTTTTCCTGACAAATTTACGGTTATCCAAAAGTGCATACCTCACATATCTCGCATATCAGCAGTGTCCAGAAGTCCTTTCCCACAGAGCCTAAAACTTCTCGCGTACAGTCTACCTAGTTTGGAGCATTCACGATTACGTCATGTGAACTGTTAACGAAAATTATCGATCTTCTAAGCTCTAAAAAAAAATAGAAGAGATGCGACGCACCCTCGATAAAACCAGGCTTAATTTTTACTAAAAGGCCTTTTGCTCTCTGTAGCGAAGCGAAATGAAACTCAGCGAAAAGCAAGCTCACTAGTAACTCACTATTAAAGCTCACAGAAACAGACAGTAACTGAGTTTCTGGATTGCGATTAGCTGAAGTGCGGCAGAGAGAAAAAGTGAGTATTCGAGAGACATGAGTTACCATCCAGTGATACCCATATTCGGTTTTTGTGAAGGTCAACTGACACTTTCGCCATCCAATGATACTTTCTACTGAAAGGTGACCAATAACAATTCCATTCGCTTTTTGGCAGGCGTTCATATTTTCATGGGTAAAGCACTCACCTACTTTCACTACCAAATTTAATGGAGAATCCGTTAGGCTCTATCCTGCTCGGCTTTCCTATAGATTCTCAGGTTAGCTCTCTCCCACCATGACCTGAGCGCGTTGATATGTTGCAGTAGTGTATCCATAATAAAGTACTGAGTAAGAGATATGCTGAATTTCGCTCTCTGCTTCGCGATTTTCGCGAAAAGCTGATCATTATCAACAACTAAGTTGTGTGTGTTTCTGTCTTTACAGCAAGATATTTACTTGAATATCGTTCCTTGCCAGGTAAACAACAACTGACGAAACTGATTTGTGGGCAGTGATCCGGAAGAACACGTAAACACAATAAACTGCACTCATTCGGGTAAAAAGGTTTTCGCCCTTTAATAAAACACAACTAGATTTTTCCTTGCAAATGTTTACTGGTCCACGACGCAACCTGGCCCGGTGGCCACCTCCAGCTCTTCCTCAAACGCCCGTACTTTTCGACCTCTTTCACTTCGGATTAGTTGCGTCGAACCCACATAGATAATTCTTAACCATTAAGTTCAAACAAACAACTTGTCATTGTCCTTGTTATTTATTACATAACTAAAATGAAGCAGATCTATTCGGACTTGTTGGCAAGGAAAAACTAAGTCCACAACGACTCGTTTTGTGGTTACGTGTTCATCTTCAAAAAGTCATGAACAATGTTTCAGTCATATATTCTATTCTGCTATTCTGAATAAATCATTTTCGTTTTTTCACAGACAACAGATCTAAAAGGTCATATTAGTTACTGTCGACTTAAGGTAAATATGCACTTCCGTGCTCCTTAGTTCGGAAATTGTGTAATGGAGTGCATGAGTTCTTTTAAGTACCTTAAGAAGACACTGCCATTTACCAACGCTCCGGTAGTGAGAATATTCTACACCGAACAACGCGAGTGCGAATCGCCGTAAATTGCTAACGTAGAAGAGGTGTTCCATTTGGCAGAATCTTCTTTACGATTGTAATAATATTTTTAAATTATGCCAAATAATACAAAAGATGTAATTGAATAAGACACAATGTTGGTTGATAAAACATATCTACTTGTCTGTCAAAGCTACTTTTGAAGACTTCTCGAGCAAACCCGTAAACAATCGGTCATATATATAAAATGATACCATATTTTCTTAAAATACAAAATAATTATTAATAATGGTCCATGAACTAATAACAATAAGGAGTCTTTCCTTTAGAGGTTGGTCCTATTAAACTTTTCATGCAAGCTCACAACCGTATCCTTCACAAGCTCAAACTACCGTATCTTTAAAAACGCTCGCAGCTACCATGTCATGTTTACGACGTAGCTTACGACGTACACTTAGCTGTCAAACGAACACAATCTTTAGTTTATCTCTAAGACGAATTTCCTAATAACAAACACCCTTAATGTCGAATGTCAAAAGTGATTATCAGATTTTGTTTATTTAGGGCCAGCTCATTTGGCATTCCACCAAATTCCTTGAAAATTTGTGGAACCACTCAACTCGCTGTCTCGAATAAACGTACAATAAGTTTAACGCCAGAAATATAAATGTATATAATAAATATTTATAAAGTGCGATTTACATTTTTCGTTCTTGCTAGTGGCGGATTTCTTCCTTAAGGCAAATTTCAAAAGGTGCGACTATATAGAGAACACTTATTTTTTATTGCATTCCATCAAACTTTTGTTGAACGATAAAGAAGCAAAATAAAAAGGTAATTTTTCTATCACAGTAGAGTCAGGACGACTGGGTCTATACGGGCTACTGCATTTCGAGCATCTGTAAAACCGAATGGCGGCGATACGAATTTTGCAGAAAAATGAAAGTAGGTGGCTTTAGAATAGTACTCAGATTAGTAGGAATACTATCTACGTCAAGTTGAACTAAGGTATCGTATTTTCACACTTGTTATACTATATATTATTGATGTCAACAATCTGTTGTATGTGGTTGCTTCTTAAAGGAAGTTTGACGATTCCATTACCATAACGCATCGTTAGGCCAGAAAAATATGTGTACATATGGACCACACTGTGGATTATTACGATCGGAGTTCACCATGGATTAGAATCACGCATATAGTTATCAGTATAGCTAGTTAATCATCATTGTTATACGGGTTTCAGCACAATTAAGCTAGCTCTGAAGAACGGTGTGCACCTTGTTGCTGTTTCTCCTCACTTCTCGAACCAAATATAACCTATAGATGCGCTAGTTTGAGCACATAAACCCGGTTTCACAGTGCATAGCGGATCTTCATGTAATCTTAGAATAGATAAACCATAATTTTTAACCTGCCTAACCCGACAATAGATATTTATAAAGCATCGTCTTTATTAGCCATAATTTAGAAGGAAAAGCATTGTTTCTTTTTGTTTCGTTAAATGATTGACGACTTCGCATAATTGAAGAACCATGTAACTTCAGTGCTATCCCGTATGACCTCACCTTGTAGGGCTAATGGCACAGGTGTCTTCAGTTGATTTTCTTGAAAACGAATGAATTGTAGTGCCCCATTTAGGTCGCTTAATAGAAAAATCTTAGACGGAAAGATTAGTAATTTTTTTCCTGTGGCACCAGTTGTTTTGAACGATAGCGTTGAGCAAAGTATGATCCATACAGCACCACGTTCCCCTGTACAAAGTAACAAAATATCATAACATATTACCGAATCGTCGCGTCCGCTCATTGGTTGTGACAATTTTCTAAAACGATTTTAAGTCTACCGATTTTAACATAGTAATAACCGACTAGTACAAACTATGCCAAAGTTTCGGTTAGTGTCCTGAACGAACGTTGCAATTGGTTCGTTTTTCTCCTTAGAGGACGCTAGCGGAGTTGCACATCTTCACCGAAGAAACAGGGCACCGCTATGTAGACATCTATTTCAGAGCATCGTCTATCAAGAGGTTAGGGTGAGAGACGTCTTGAGGTACCTATTGAGAAGCTTGTCCAGACCGGTTGCTTCGCTGGCCTGTAGGATCTTGAGGGACTATAGAATTTGCCGCACAGGTAATTCCATCACCGTCCCCTCAGAGCTCACAGCCGTGGTTGGCATACCATCATGCAACGTACCATATCAAATGTAACAAACACCTTGTCTAAATTGACGATCAAAAAGATCATGCACTTTATAGGGCGCATGGACAAGTTGTGGTGTGTTCATCATCCATTCACCACCCCTTTTGGTGAAATGCATACGTTTTACGATATACCGTTTTGAGAGAGATTACAAAAGTGTGTGCTGCAAATTGTACTTTCGGCAAAATTGTTTTAAGGTTTTGTTTGGGATATACAACAGTAACCTAACTTATTTGGATGCGCCCGGCTGTACGAATGATTAAAGAATTGTGATAAGCTGCTGAGCGTAGTCTTCCGCCTTGATTCCGCCACGCTGAGTCCTGAGGGGACCTCAAAAATGCTTTTAGTCTTCAGCTGCTGTAGTAGTGCTGAGTTTTTGGTTGCCTTTCTAAGGGTCTTCCGTAGCACAAAGTCGATCGCAAGTTATTTTTTTAAGAAAAACCGATATGTTTTTGTGTCAATTCTAACAGCTAGCCAACAGATGATGGATTTCTGATGTATTCTTCATCAACTGGCATGAAAGTGGTTTCCACTAAAAAGATTCAGAGTATTGGTACAGATACGCAAATCTTATGGGAAAATTATTTACTTTATACTAAAGTATTGCTTATATTACTAAAAAAACAAACGCTGTACAACTTTATCGTACAACTGCTCATATAACTGTAAGCAGGGGAGATTAGAATATAGTAATCCCTTCCTCCGGTCCTTCCAGACTACCCGTGTTGAGGTTCCTGCTATGTTGGCTGGAAATTCTTGAAACACTGTTAGACAACTTTAGTGCCAAAGTTTGATGTGAAAGAGAGAGCTTAGAATCGGAAGCTAAGTGAAGTCAGTCGAATTTTATTTATTTACGTTGGCTAGTAGTGCTCAGGAATTTCATAAGTACAGTCCAGTATCCCAATATTAGAGAAAGTGCATAGGGCCGTTTAAAACACTTTGCGTCATACAGGTTATACGGGTGTTGTTGAGCTTGTAAGACTAACTTGAGAAATTTTCAAGGTATTTTAAGGTTGAGATCAGGAGACAATGAGCGGGATGGTATCTATAACAATTTCCCTTCCTTCAGGAACACCTATATATGTCGTAAGGTTAGCGAAAATTTGGTTTCCTATAGATTCTGTGGTAGAATGCATGCACGGTAAAACGAGTGATGACATCCCAGTTTAGCTGGTTCGTTTCTCCCACTCTTTGTTGCTCATCGCACTCGAAACAAAGAAATCCCAAATAATCTACACAGGTAATAAGGTTCGTTTTGAAAGCTTCCGTTGCTGGGGGTTTAAAGCGACGACGCAAGTTCTCGGACAGTAGTCGTAAGTCGAGTAGAAAATATATGAGGCCATTTCGGGTTTACTATGCGTCATTCCAGTGTTTGAGGAGTGAGACTTTGACGCAATTTATTTATTCGACGTTGTCTACTGTAACATTCTTTTAAATGAAACCTATACTCTACGTTGAGAGCGGGACTACTTTGGGGTAGGCCAAGCTGAAAGCGGTTGCGAGGGACAAGCGATGACGATTTGATCGCCCATGTGGTCAACACTGCCTAGCTGCATCTTTCGCTGACGTGCACAGTAAAACTCTGCCGTTCGCGGAAAAAAGCAGTCTCAAGTACGAACACCGGTCTACATAAACAAGGGGCAACCTGGCGAGGTACAAGGTGTCAGTGGCCCCTGTTTTACTTACCGTTCTAAACTTCATCGTTTCCATCTGAATCAGATTTACAATCAGTCTCAAATCGGTGACGGCCGCGTGGAATCGGCCTAAAGTTTGCTGTGCTTGGCACCCGTTCGGCCCGCATATACGCTAAGTCATTTGAGTATAAGATAACTTCAACTAGGCGCTCTTATTTCATAGGAAGCCCGTTAAAAAGGGTAGAGAATAAAAGTGGACTTAGGTTGTCCCGTGAGCCATGCCACTTATTTTTATGAAGAGCGGGAGTTTGGCCACTCCGTCGTCGATTATCATTCTGTTTTCCTGTAGAATCGCAGCGAAAAGATTATGCGCACTCATATGAGCTTTTATTTCGGCCAGCATAAACATAACCTTGTTCCTAAGTTTTGTTACTACCTCAAAATACATGTACAACGTATGTATGAACACCGTGTATAACAGAGTGCGTGGCGTGGCTAGAGCTTTTACAACATCGGTCATCAGAATCCTACACGCCGTTTCTGTGGAACGTTCTTTCCAGAAGCTATGTTCGTCCATTGTGATGGCGCGTACGCTTTCTACGTAGCTGCTCTGTCTTTTAGTCAGCAAACCGGAAAACAGCTTATAATAAACACTTTCCTTCGCTGTTACCCACCATGATGACGGCGTGTTTAGGACGCTCTTTTGGTTAGAAATTACTAACAGGGTAGCATTTAGTCAGAAGGCTTAGAGTATACCAGTACGGGAACGTTTATTAAACAATGCACTCCAACACAGTGCCAAAAGGTTAGCGCATTCGAGATATTTGTTGCAGACCCTATCTAAACCGATGACTTTATTAGCTCCCACACTGTGAGGTCATGTTGAATGACATCGTGTTGTACGGAGATTTCCTCTTTTTATACTGCTCCGGATAAAAGTATCGCGCGCAGTATCGTATCCCCTGGCGCAAACATCCTTGAAAAGTGATTTACAAGGGCCTAGGAGCTAATCGGGAAAGAAGTCAAGCACATGAGCATTGCGGTACATTAGCGGCGACTAAACTGATCTCCAGTCGACGCGGGTACTGTTGGCTTTGTGATGCATATATTTTACGACAGATCGTGTTAAAAACTGGGGATAAAAAGTAAAAGTTTCGTTGTACCTCGGCCATAAGCCTGAAGGTAGGCCATAGGCTTTCCGGACACGGCTGTAAGTATAGTTGAACCACGACCCACGTTTACGCAGTAGACGGGGACGGAAAGGCTGTACTGTGGACTGTAGAATTCCAACAACATACTGCGTTCAAGTATCGGCATTCACCACGCCCAGTGCAGGGAAAACTTTGCAGATGCATTGCAGAAGCTTGTCTACATTGTCGCAGTGAAGCCTAATGTTGGACAGTCCGCGCAGGTGCAACTTAGTGAGGTCTATCGTCATTGGTATATGGGCACGAATACTTGCACCTTCTGACAGAAAATGATTTTCACGTTGAAACTTTATCCTATCTCTGGTCACGTTCGTCCCAAAGATACCAAAAACCAAACTTCCTGCATATCCTAGGAAAGTCGGTCCCGAAATGGAATTGACTTCCCAGGAATCAAAATCCGCGACAGTGTAGAGCAGGGCCCCTCACAGTTCCACTATGTAAAACTTACCGTTTTTTTTTAAAGTTAAAAGAAATTATTGTTTTGGGAAAAAATTTAAAGGGAACCAGTTCGTTTACTTTTTTCAATTAAATAACGCATTAAATCAGCATTATTTTTTATTCCTGTGGTTTTTCGACACTCAAAAAATGAAGCACGTTTAAGGTTGCGTCAATAAATGTCTGTATTTTTCCGAATTTAATTGACATTTTTTATTTTCTGTTCTTTAAAATTTAGAGCGAAAGTAACCCTGTCTCAAATTGAAGTATACTTTCACTGTAAAAACTCAAAAAAAACAAAAAACCCGTTAATATAATAGTTTGGATTATTTTTGTTGGATGGACACGGATGGTGTGAATTTTTGATTCCAGAGTAACCTACTTTAAATGCTATAGAACTATGATTATTTTACATACAAGCTCCTTAACCAATGAACAAGCGGAAGTAAAGCTTTCAACAGATAATATTTTTATCATACTGAAAAAAATACGCGGACAATTGATAAAACTTCCCGCCTGTTTGAGCTTTTGACAGGTACGGAACACAGCTTAAAAGTTATTTGTTTGGTATAGGAGCAGCGCGTAATAACATGTGACAGACCTTTACACAATATCGACCTTGTTTGCATATGAGTTAGATCGAAAGTCAAACAGGTTCTTCGAAAAGTTAGTAAAAGAAATTGAAAGTTACGAAAATACTTTTCAGCAAGTATAAGTGTTATCTCTCTCTCATCGTTGAGAAGTTATCTTATGACTCTAATTGAAAAGGAGAAACCTGGTATGAGCTCCTCTCAGGTAGTAAAATGACCACTGTTATCAAATGGTGTGAACAAATAGATCAGCTGAAGGTGTTTGTGATCTAAGAATGAATGGAATTGATACATACAGCATCACATAATGTCAGATTATCATTTGGTTCGATTTTCAAAAAAATTTATTCAAAAAAATACTTGTTCTTTTTTTTATTTAATACGAAATGCATAGAGGTACATATATATCGAAAGCACAGACAGTGCTTCCTGCAGTGATGGCAGTATAGATTTGGTAGAACATAAGATTAAGGCAACTGAGAATAACAGGCGACACAGCATTCGATAAATATTTTTAGAAAAACAATATTTCATCATATATTATAAGGTAAAGCAAAAAAATCTAACCAAACCCAGCATTTATCGTACAAAAGTTTACAAATAAAATGGAATCACATTCTCAGATTTAGAAATAGAAAGAGATATTGTAGCATACACTGCAATATATCACTTACCAGCAAGGATGAGCAACGCCCCACGCCATGCAAAGATCTCCAGTAGATATTGAACCAATGGTGCAAACACAAACGCTCCCAATCCCGATCCGCAGACAGCAACCCCAGTTGCTGTGGCACGCTTATGTGAGAAATACTGATTCACTGAGATGATAGCTGGCAAGTAGATCAGGCTGCAAAACGTAAAAATCTAAATTAATGATAATGAAATCTCACAAAAAAGCCTCTTTACAGTTGAAGATATATAATTTGACGTCTGTTAGAGCAGAAGGTGTACAAATTATTACAATGACGAACGGATTTAACTGCTCAACACAACAATACTTTCTTATGTTACCACAGCATTATGTCTATAATGCAATAGCTAGAGCAATAACTAATATGCTTATTCATATGGTTTCATTGACCAACATCAAAATAATTCAATTTAAATTTGATGTCGCAAATGTTTGAATTAGTGACCTCCTAGTAGCAAATGTCGACAACTTGCTTCACACATGAAAGAAAACGGTTGCGTAGAGTTCTTCGCGGTAATTAATTTCTTGAGTTTTCACCATTTCACGATTGATGGTTTTCGCTTGAAGATATAATCTTCAATGACCCTCCAAGGGTGAGGTACGGTGATCATAGTGGCGACTTTACTAGACCACGCGAACTTATCTATCTGTTTGGCAACTCTTCGCAAATCCACTACTATGCCTCTGGAGCACGCATGGCTAGCGTAGCGCCGTACCATCTTGTGGAAAGAAAAAGACGTCGCTCTTATGTAGTTCTTTTGATCAGGACAGGATGATATTGCGTAGCGTGCACAGCTACAGATCTTCTGTAAGACTGGTATAAAAAAGGCAAAGCCGATCACTTGTATGGAAGGACAACTCAGGCATCAACCCCAAACTCATTCGGCTGCTTTCCTAACCTTTACTTTTCTTTACTTCCTAATGTATACTGGTCATAGATGCGTCGATTTGCAGCCTATAAGGACTTGAAATTACCTTCATCTTAACGCATTAAGCCTGTTATCATTTTGCCTTTATTTATTCAAAGCAACTTTACAGAATTCTTCATCGATCTGGATTATGCTTTAGTAAGCCATGAAGCATTCTCGGCCAATACCTTTCAAACCCAATGTCCGCATTATATGCTGTAAGGAATTCTGAGATGTAGTTCAAGAAATATTTTGCATGTGTATGTTCCAGAATTTTAAAGTAATACTTGACTTACAAACATGCGATTTTTCTGGCATAGCCATTGTCAGCCTATCATTTCTCGGGGTCTTGCAAGAGATCTAAGTTCAAAGTTGTCGTCTATTGTTTACATTGGACACAGTTTCAAGGATTTGACTCCACTGTTGGTGGACCAACGTCGACATATTTCGTATTCCAGTATTGTTTGATGATTCACTTCCATTTATTGTTGGTCAGAATAATGTTGAAATATTTAGTATGCGAAACAAAAAAAAACAAAAATAGCACAGAGTAGTTACACTAGAATCCCGGATTAGAAAGCAGAGTGCAAAAGTCTGTCGTCTATACGCTGGTGCTCTTCTCGCCTTTCTTTAAACATTAAAATTTTCTCTTAATGTTTATATTTGACTGGATATATGGGAAAAGCAATAGGCTTAGATTTCAGATGACCGTCAGGGTGACGCCTAACGCCTGTCGTATGAGATGGTATTAGGCCTTCTCATATGGTTGATACAATAGGCTATAGGTACCTGTGTAAATTCCTTATACTCCGTTGAAATAAGGAATCACGCAGTTTACTACATTACCTACGACATGTTCAACGAGAAATTGTATCCAAAGAATTTTACGACGGACGCGCAATATACGACTACGCATGATTCGTAAACCTTTAGCATAGAATTTAAAAAGAACGGAAATCTTTGGCCATAGAGATACACAAGCATATATGCGACATATTCGGAACATATAATATTAAAATTGTTGATTAATTAGATAAGATGGATAATGAATTTTCAACATGTCCTCTAGTATGCTCATACATTACTATGGCCGGAATATAGAAATGGAATCAACATATAAACAAATGTCCTGCATATTTAAATTGCAACCACTTATCGGCGTGAAATTAAGATTTTTCAACTGTCAAAGAACTTTTTTTATTTTTTATATTCCTATCACAGTCATTTGTACTCTACAATAATGAGAATATAGTAATAGTAATATGGCGCAAACAAGTATCCTGTAAGTTAAATTTACATTTTAGTATTAATAATTTGTGTATCTCCTTGTACTAAAAAATGTGAGATGAAATTCTTCAACTGTATGAGGATTTTTTTGCTGCTGATAAAGGATTTTTCTTCATAGCATTAAGAAATATTTTTCAAAGAATTTAGCCTCACATTTTATGTTTAATTATAACACACCTAAGAGCTATTTCTTTACTTAACAAAAACCCCAGTATCTCACACGAATTCTAGCAGCGAATCGATTTATACATTCGGTGTCAACCTCTATAACATTCTCCCACCTCTTAACTAATTGATTTATTCTTTCTTGTTAAACCAGGTTTGATGTTGAAAAGCTCGTCAGTCAGATACGGAAACGCCTTCTTGAGTCAAATGAAGGATTATTTATTTTAACTGCCAGTAATCAAAAAAGGTGGTGGTTTACAGCGAAAGATTTCAAAAAAATTATGGATGCAAAAGAATAACTCATTAAAGTAGTTGGTAGGCGGGTATCACAGTCGTTGCCATGCGCGGTCTGACATTGTTTTGAAGAAAAATCACGCTGCGTCATCTATCGGACTTCTCTGTTGGGTAGTTTTATTTAATCGATACAATTCAGCCATGTACAGACCCTTGTTGACCATCTTATCCTTCTAAGATGTTGCTCCGTTTAAGGCCTTTCCAATCATACGAAGCTTAGTCTTTTTGGAAAGGAGAGCTGGTTCATTTCTGAGGCTACACGTATTTCTTAGAACTACCTATTCGCCCCCTTTTTTATCTTTATCTATGTAAACAATTAACACCACTTTTTGTCACTAATAACAATGCGGCGTATCAATACGTTAACGTCTCCACATGATTTTCAGTAAGCAAAATATGTTGCGAAACAATAAACTTTTCCTTGTGCTATTAATTTAGTTCATATGCAGCCGCCTGCTTGAGTAGATTTTCAGATAGAAGGTGTCTGTCAATATTTATGGCTGTGGTACACCTGTCCAATTCACAAATTGTTTGTCGACTGCCGTCCTTCAAAGGTGTCTTTAGGGTGCTCTGATCGCCCTCAACAGCTGATCAACGCCAAGTGTATGCTCCACCTTCAGAATGGCTCCTTAGATTGAAATTCACAGGCCAGTTTTCCCGGGCGTGGGGTTTATCCTGTACCCAGCAGGAATGCTTTCTGTAGAATCGAAGTACACAGGAAATTCTTCACCTCCCAATCAAAAAACAAATTCACTTGTTGTAGAAAGGATAATTGGAACGTATCAAACGGAACTTCAACATTTAAGAGTGGTATATGTATCTTCTAACTTTCAAGAATCGTAAACTTTCCTTTGCTCCTTTGGTCTATAGATTACGACTTGGTCTGAAAGTAATAAAGTAGTATATTATAGTATTTTATATAGTGATGTAATTTAACTTATGGTTTTTATTTCTTCACTTTTTGAAGACAACTATTCTCAATGACGACGTTGAGGCAGACGTTAACAATAGCAGGCAACTCGGATGCCCCTGAAGACACTTGAACTAGATATCAAGGGCGGTTTATAGATATATAGAAAGGGGGCTTTGCATAATATGGTGTGCATGTCAAATGTCAGGCATTTGCATCGTTTCATAACCAATTTTTTTCGCACAATGATAGCAACGAAAAGTTTCCATATCGTGTGGTTTCTTGCTTAGGCTTCCCGTCCCATTTTTCATTTTGTTTCGTGAGGCTATTCTTATATATTAAAGGTAACGATAGATTTATAATCAATTCATCTGCAAGTAAAGCAAGGTCATCGACACTTTAAGTCGACATAGGCTACAACACAAATTGATCGATGAGGCGGTTATAACGTATTAGAAATCCTCTATACAGCGTGCTCAATATCATAAACACCACAGTGCGAAGAAGTTTCAAGAAAAAATAGCCTAATGATTATAACAAATCCCGAGCGTGATGCCCTACTATATACTGCTTAAAATTCTGTGAAAAAAATATGTCATTCTTTTATAGAATTTGATTAGGCCCACTTGCCTATTTACATCGTCTTATGACACTTACAATATAATATCTAGCTACAGCGATTGCGTCAATTTGTTGGCGAACTTTACACGTGTTGCGCCCATTCTAAACTGTAGTTGAAGTGTGCATTTTCTTACTTCCAGAAATGCGCATCTTGTTAGAAAGCGCTTCTAAAATCTATTTGCACCGATTTCATTACCTTAGTACCCTACCATGTCCTCCCCTTGGAATCTTCACCTTTCGTGCCTTCAATTATTGCAGGTCATATCGCAATGAATAGTAGAATATGTAGGATCTGAAAATACAACTAATTTGGCTTTAATACGGAACCTAGCATTACCATTCGCAATTATTTTCTACAGTACACAAACACATTGTATTAATATTTACAAAGCACAAATTTATTCTCTTAATGACACAGATATGAGAAAGTAAAGAAAATCCGATGCCGATACAGTAATGGCTTTAACCCATACCACTCGTTGTTACTTAAAGGATCCAATTCACTGCTGTTACATCCAAGCAAAAGCTAGGATTTACAGCAACAGTTCTTTTGTTGCAGCTACCCATTGTTGCGCTAATCCAGTTATTCGTTTGCAGTGTTACTGTTCTCCCGTAACGGCAGCCAGAAAAATCAATATTCGTAAGCTGAAGAGATACCAAAAGCGTATAATAATAAGAGCAGCTAGAATATACTATCTTCTGGGATATGCAGATAGAGGAAGAAACGACAACTTAAACACAAAGTTGAAGAAGTTGTTCTGCGCAAAATTACACTCAACAAGTGGCAAGTCGTCTGCGTTAACTTACAGACCGCTACGAGTGCAGTAGGTAGATCACATCATGAATGTGAGAGGTGATTAGAGCATTCCTTGTAAGTCAGAAACACACTTGTTACAATTGGAAACAAAAAATAGGAAGGTGATTTTTATCTGGTTCAGATAATGAGTGAATATTGCTTTTGTGGTATGTAC